TGGGCCCAGCGCAGACTCAGGGCGGTCGGTGAGTGGGCCCTGCGCAGACTCAGGGCGGACAGTGAATGGGCCCAGCGCAGACTCAGGGCGGACAGTGAATGGGCCCAGTGCAGACTCAGGGTGGACAGTGAATGGGCCCAGCGCAGACTCAGGGTGGTCAGTGAATGGGCCCAGCGCAGACTCCTGGCGGTCAGTGAGTGGGCCCAGCATGGACTTACGGCTGTGATATCGGAGAGAATTTGGTTCCCAGTGACTTTTGCAGCAATGAGACGGCCCTAGCACAGTCTCATTCCTGCTGCAGCAGAGGTGAGATTGGGTTCCCAGCAACATCTCTACCTGGTGCAGATTCACGGGGGTGGGTTTGGCCCAGTACCAGACCCAGCGGGCATCGGCAGCAACTGCATTGGTGAGGTGGGCCCGAAGTGGACTCATGGCAGCAGTGAAGTCAGGTTTGAGATTGTGCCGTACCTGGTGGCATTGTTGGCATCTGCACTGACGAGGTGCGGCAAGGACTCATGGCGAGGGCATCGCTGGAGGTGAGATTGCACCGAAGAATGGCAATTCTCTTTCCAGCAGTGGCAGCACAGTGAAGGGAACTCATGGCTAGCCACTGGTCACATGGCCCATGGCAGAGCACTTAACAAGAAGAATTGTAGAGTTGAACATTTTTTCTTTAGTTCTTTCTTCTTCTGCCTTTCTATTCTATGCTTTGGTTTATTTTTCTGTATTTTAATATGGCACTGTCGATTGACGATACTATACAACACTTCACTGTATGTTATAAAAAATACATGTGAAAATAAATAAATAAATCAAATCAAATCAAACATTCATTTGAACTCATTGTCGGATTCTTGCTATGGCTAAGCTTCTAAACTCACCAGAAAAACGAAAGATATTCGATGTTCCTTCTATCATTCTGTTTCTTTAGTCCCTGTCATTGATCATATTATCTGACCAGTGCTTGTTGGAGCAAAGTAGTGAAGACAAAGTGTGAAATTTAATTCAGCCACCAGTGACTGCAAAAACTGGTTTAATCAAATGCAAGTGCAGCTAATTAAAATTAAAACACAGGTTCAAGGTGAATATTATAAAGCATCCTTCAAGTGCTCAGCCAGTTCTAACATAATGCTGCTGCGTGGACCTACGCTAACACCAAGGTGCAGATGTGCAGAGATAGCATGTAAAGCGGCATACTGCACTTCAACAGAGAATAGAAACCTACAGGAATCTAAAAAAACATATTTAAAACCAATTAAGCAAGAGTTTTTACCTGCTATGCTATCAACATGGACAATGCAATCTTCTGACCATTGTTTGGAGCAGAATTTGTGGAAGCAGAGAGCTGTTTAGAATAGGTGGGATAAAGATAAATATATTTGAGGTTAAGAATAGAAAATTCAATCTATTTTAATTGGAAAATATTTGGAATAGAATTAGGAGAGCGATGCAGAAGAAGCATGATACAGAAAAAAATAAATATATAAGATTAAATCGCTCTATGGCTGCAGGTGAGGTATTAAGAAACATAAGTATTATTAAGGAAGGACCAAATAGTCATGATTATTGCAATATTGATGAATGTGAATGAATTAATCAGGATGCAAACAAGATATTGCAGTTTGTGGGTTAGCTGTGTTGCTAAACTTTTCTAATAAATGGGCTGGCTTAATATGTAGCGATTTGAGAATGTTCAGAAGAGATTAGGGATTAGCAAGAATGCTGAAAAGAGAGGATTTGAAAGTAATGAAAATAAAATTGTCCTGAGATGACAGCGGAAGTAACCTATTTAAAATGAAATCCTGACATCTAGATAAGAACATGAACATGATGATGGAGAACAAAAAAAAATACATAACTAAAGGAATGTTCTTTTGGAAAGTAGAGACCCACGCAGCAAAAGTGCCTTCCCTGCAAAGTTACTCATTTGACCAGATTTATGGTTCAAAACGGAAGCTATAGATAGACTGCAATATTCTGAATTAAGTATTTGAAAATATTTCTGAATGGAAACTAAGGGGAAATAGGTAGAATTTCTTCATGTTTTTGTTGTTACTATGATTTCTATAGAAACTGGTAAGTTGAACTTAATACTGATGGCTGAAAATGTCACACAGCAAGATTTCATATTTTAAAACTTTCTAATGATTCTGTTGTCGACGACAGATGTACCCAGCCTGTGCTTTCAAAATTCAGAATATAATTTCTAATCTTAACTGTGATTGTACAATTTGACAGGGTTTATTGAATGCACTGGGATTTTCACTTATAACCAGCTGAAGCAGAATTTGAATTAATGTTTACCACAATGAAAAAAACCTCATGTACAGTATTTAAGAAGACATTGGCCTTTTTGACATCTATCTTTGCTCTGCAGCATCTTCAGCCTCCTAGCCCAAACAGAATGAGATCCCCTCTGTAAAACACATTGTGTCTTTCTTTTCTTCTCTTTCTTTTAAACACCCTTTAACAACTTGCACTTTGACCAATTTTCCTCACCATTCTTAATAGCTCATCCTTTGGCTAGATCATTTCTCCCCAACAAAGCTTCTGTGAAATGTGGCGACGTGGTTTTCTACTTTAATTCTTTATTCGTCTGCCTTTCTACTATAATATGGTGGGAAGAAATGACTAGCACCATTTCGAAATGCTGCCAACCAAGAAAAATTAGAATGTAGGGCTCCAAGGGAAAAAAGATATCCTGGTGACCCAGAAGTCTTCAAGAGGAATAAATACTGCTAATTGCTGATAGCAGCCTATCCCTAAAAGCTTGTATCAGCTTTCCACACAGATGTTTCGCAAATTTG